AGGGAGATATGAGCCAAAATATCAAGAACTACAAAGTAGAATTAAAGTAGAGATAAAAAAGGCAAAAGAAAAGTAATTAACAAATCAATGCATAGAAATAGAAGAGTACGATAGAAAATACGACAGCTTTAATATACATAAAACATAAAAGAACTAACAAATACCAAAAAGCGAGCACACTATGGGATACTCAAAGATGATAATGGTAAACTCATTGCAGACAATAAAGATAAAGTAAGATTTTAGCAAGAATACCTAATGAAACTATTCGACGATGATATAATGATACAAAAAGAACCACAGGAACAAACAGGACCGACAATAATAATGTGCGAATTAGAACAGGTAATTAGAAATGCAAAGACCGCAAAATCAGTAGGCCCAGATCAGATATCCACTGAGCTAATTAAATGCATTGACGAAGAAACACTGCATATACCTTTAGATCCATTCAACAAAGTATATACAACAGGAATAATTCCCGAAGATTGGTTGCTGCTCACGTTTGTATGACTACCAAAGTCAGTACATGTAGAATGCTCCCAGTCTTCTTCTTCCTTTGCCCTATCCGTTTCGGACGTTGGCTATCAACAAGGCTATTTTGACTTTGTTTACGGCACCTCTGAACAGTTCGTCGATGTTAGTCCAAACCATTGTCGCAGGTTATGCATCCATGAGTGTCGTCTTCTTCCTGGTCCCCTCCTACTGTCGATTCTTCCTTGGACTATTACGGAAGACAAGCTTCCGTTTCTTTACGGTGAAGATTATTTCTTTGCTTTTGCCTATTCTCTGCATTACTTACACGTTAGTGATGTGGTCTGTCCAGGATATCCGAAGAATACGGCGATATATCCACAGCTCAAAGGATTCTAGTTTCTTCAGGGTAGCTTCCGTTGTGGTCCATGCCTCTGCTCCATAGAACAAGACCGGGAAGACATAACACTTGACCAGTCTTAATTTTAGTTCCATTGAGATTTTGCTTGTGAACCATTTTTTCATATTGTTGAATGCGTTTCGCGCTTTTTCAGTTTGTGATCTTATTTCTGTTGACTGGTCCCATTTTGTTTTGACTGTGGTTCCAATGTATGTGGATGTCTCCACTTGTTCTATTTTTCGGTTGTTTAATGTCAATTGCATCGGAGGTTGTTGTATTCTGCTGATGAGCATGCATTTAGTTTTGGTTGTATTGAGTTCTAAACCATATTCTTGACTTGCTGTTTGTATGCTTTGCATGAGTATTTGAAGCTCGTTGCAGTCATTTGCGATAATAACTGTGTCGTCAGCATATCTAATATTATTGATTACCTCTCCGTTTACTTTGATACCCTCCGAAACTATAGAGAGATATAGAGAGTATATACTCCGAATAGAGAGTCTCTATTCGCTTTTAACGTTCTAGCGCAAAGACGACTAGATATGAACCAGGATCTCTATGTCTGCTTTATAGATTATCAAAAAGCTTTTGATCTAGTACGTTACTAGAAACTCGTAAAACTGTTAAAAGAAAAAAATGTGGAAAGGCGAGATATACGGGTTATTGTCAATCTGTACTGGAATCAAAAAACAAAGGTTAGAATCGAAAATATCCATACATAAACTATAGAAATCAAAAGAGTTGTTAGAAAGGGTTGCGTGCTGTCCCCATTGTTATTCAATCTGTACAGCTAAGCTATTTTTAAGAAAGCAATATCAGAGGAACAACAGGGTATATCAATAAACGGAAAAATCTTGAACAATATAAGATTCGCAGACAACACCGCTATTTTTGCAGACAGTCTAGAAGCACTGCAACGCTTAGTTAATAGATTACATCAAGTCAGTATAAAATATGGACTACAAATGAACGTTAAAAAAACCAAGTGCATGATTATTTCTAAGTAACATACAGTAGGAAGGCTAGATTTCGAGAAAAAACAAGTAGAAAAAGTGAATAATTACAAATTTCTAGGAACCTGGGTAAATAAAAACAATGACCAAGGTAGAGAAATAAGGACACGCATTGAAATTGTAAGACAAGTATTTATAAAAATAAAAACAATGTTTGTTAATCGAGACCTTTCTCAGGAGCTGAGGATAAGAGCCTTAAGATGCTACGTGTTCTCGACTTGTTGTATGGAATGGAAAGCTCGACACTAAAAGTGGATTATATAACGAAGTCGGAATCATTTGAGATGTGGTGCTATAGAAGGATGAACTCAACGAGTTACAAATGCAGAACTGTTAAGAAGGATAGAAAAGGATTGCCAGGTCATAAAGCACATCAAAACAAGAAAGCTGGAATATTTACGCCACATTAACAGAGGTACGAAATATGAGATATTAAGGCTCATAATACAAGGTAAACTCAAGGGTAAAAGATCCATATTAAGGCTAAGATACCTGAGAGAGTGATAAAGTTGCCGATCAGTAGATCTTTTCAGAGCAGCCGCCAATAAGGTACGGATATCTGTCTGGATAGTCAACCTCCCATAGGAGAAGGAACTACAAGAAGAAGAAGGCTATATAGGAAAAATAAAATACTTCAAACGCTTATTATAGCCTCCGTTTTAACTTAGGTATTCATTTTTAGATACTTTTAAAAATATCCCAATTTTACCGTCGGCACGAATGGAAACTGAATCTTTGGTAGTCAGTCTACGGTTTAAGATGTCAGACCCTATTATGATTTTAAGACCTGTCATTATTATCTACTATATTAAATACATATATATGTTACAATCTGCAAATTCAAAGACTCCTTTTCCTTCAAGAAAGAGTAAAAGCATAAGAACATGGAGGTAGAAGAAGAAGATATGTCGAATCCAAATTTTATAGGGTGTTTCTTTAAACTAAGAGGAACATAATATACCAAGCTTATATGTGTTATCTCAAAGAAAGTTGTAAGTATGGACAACACAATTTTATAAAAAAAAGCGGTGTCGGGTCTGATATAACGATACGTGTTAGGATTGTGAGGGTTTATCTCTAGCTTATACACGACTAACCCTCTCCCCAAGACACAAATGTCTGATCTGTTCTTACAGAGAAAAATTGAGAGAAAGTGGTAAACTTTATTTAGGTAGAGTGAAACAAGATGAAAAATGGTCTTATGATAATCCTAAAGAAGCACGAGTTATGAAACCAAGATGCAAATGTGCATCGAAAGAAAGAGGTCTTATGAATTGTTCTTTAATCAGTGAACATGAAAGGCGACCTATTTTTGAGTCATTTTGGCAAATGTCTTGGGAGAAAAAAAATGTTTTTATTAATAATCAGGTTAAATATGTAACGACTAAAAGGCATCGTAACCGAAAAAAAGAAAACGAGACGAAAACGGGACAAACTTTAGAATATTTTCTACCGGTTCAAGAAGAAAGTTTTAGAGTGTGCAGAACCATGTTTCTTAATACTATCGTAATTGGTTGCTGGACAATTCTTAGCTGGAAAAATTCTTATGGAGTACGTGCTCCAAGTATGCTACGTAAGTCAACCAATGAAGTGCTACCTTTCAAATATCGCCGTGAATGCGTGCTGCAATTTTTAGATACTTTACCAGTTATGGAGTCACATTATTGCAGGTTAACATCTAAAAAAATATATCTTTTGGCTGAATGGCAGTCTTGGCAAAGTGTTTACGAATTGTTTGTCAACGATTGGTGCAAATCGAGGAAAGAAGAGAGCCGAAAAGTGCAAAGAATTTGCACGTTTCCGCCCAAAAAAAGATTAATGTCAAAAGTGTGTTAGCTATAGGGTTGGACAACTTTCGGAAGAAGAATTAAAAAGTCACGTACGAGGAAAGTAGAAGCAAGAAAAGAAAAAGAAAAAGATAAAAATGAGACACAAAATGTTTTCACAGCAGATTTGCAAGTAGTGATAGCACCAAAATCAAAAGTCTCCACATTATACTACAAAACAAAGCGCAAGTACGCAATCTCTGTTTCTATAACTTAGTGAATTCCAATGCCTATTGTCTTATTTGGAATGAATGTGAAGTGGGTCTTAGTTCTGAGAAATTTGCCAGTATTTAAATGTATTTCATAGAACAGAAAATTTTACCCAGTGTCCCTTATTATGTAGAAGGGGCTGATGAAAGGAGCACCATTATAATGTATTCGGATGGTTGTGGGTACCAAAATAGAAACCCTGTTATGGCCAATGTTCTGTTGAATCTAGCAATCACTTATAATGTAAGACAGATGTTGATTCGGTTCATGCAACCATCGAACAAAAACTCATATAAAGTCATTAACCTATCAGCGGATTACGTATCTCTCTGTCTAAAAGCAAGAAAAAAGCCTGCTCCCTACCAAGTAAAATATTTAACACATGATTTTTTCAAAAACCTTGATTCAATCCAGCGGTATAAAACAATTAGACCAGGAAGAGGTAAAGGTGATTTAAAAGTTACAGATATTCGTGCTTTGAGGTATACACCCGAAGGTGAAATTTATTATAAAATCAGCTTTGCTGATTAATGGAAACCAATTCCTCAACGTAAGAACAATAAAATTAATTCACATTCTTTGGATTATTTGAAGCGACTATACCTAGAAAGACGTGAAATAACCGCCAACAATATAAAGACCTTCAGGCAATCAAAAAGACATTATCGGTAGACTACCACCAATTTTATGAAGATCTTCCCTATGAGTAGCTTTATTATTGTTTCGTTGTGCAACAAAATGTTTCGTTGCGTATAGAATACGCATGTTTGATTGCATTAAAGTGCCAAGTCCATTATTAGCCTAATTTGAAAGACTGATAACCAACTATCTCCCAAAAATACTAAACACTAAAATGTATAATTTTTTATAATTTCAATGATACAACAATTATTATACTAATTTTAAGCACTATATAATTTTTTCCATTCATTTTTATAAAAAGAAACGATACGAAATCGTTTTTTGACTCTCCTGTAAAATTTTGCAAAATGGATTTAGCAGGTTAACACTTTAGAACGACGATATTTTAAATTAATCTGTGATTTAAATAATATACATATATAAATGAATACAAACCTGAGCTGGATTTAGTCGTAGAACTTTCTTTAAATAATTTTCCGTTTGTCGACCTGATAAGAAATACGCCATAAGTAAAGCATGGTACGTAGAATATGGCGAGAAGAAAAGATTTTCATTGGGAATTACTCTGTTAACGGCGTTCAGTAGAGCCAAAGAAAATTCCTGTTGTCCAGAATAAAGGTATGGGCCGGATTTTTGACTTGGTTGATTACCAGCAAACGGAGGGAAGCATTGTTGTACGGATTCCTTGAATAATGCCGCAACGAGCAAGGTTATCACTAAGGTTATCTTCATGTCGTCTACAAAACAAAAACACTTTCAGACACGATCTTTACACATTGAATGTTTGTCGAATACTGAGGTAAACAGAGAAAGTATGAACATGACCCACATTAAAAGACTTTCTCGATGTGTGAATTTCCAGTGACGTACAACTTTAGCAGAATCCGTGAACAATGTGATGACACTAACGATTATGTTAATATTGAAAGTAAAATTTTAATATTCGTCACAGTATTTTTACTAAACTTTTAAAATTGCATCTGGCATAGAACAAAGGTGTGGTTGTCAAATAAATATTGGAATAAAAGTAGTTAAATGTTTATGAAGAATTTTCTTTTATTAATTACAGTAATATATACAAAAACTTTAAAAATATTAAGAGAAGGCGAAAACATTTTACCTGTTACTTCTCTTATATATTAATCAATAGGTTTGCAAAGTTTAACGACAACTTGTTCAATTAAGGCAATAACACTTACAGAATATTACATTATACAGTGTGTCTGTAAAGTATGGAATAAATTCGATATTTCCTAAATGTAAAGCCTTTTTAAAAAAATCTAAAACACGACGATTTTTAAGTTTAATGCTTTATAGTTTACAATAAAATTTCATTATACAAGGGACTACACATTAAGGTGATGACGTCATCGGCTATTTTTTTTAAATATAACACAGTACATTTTAGGACATTTTTATATCGATAAAAATGAGCTGATTCCAAACAAGTATAATATTAATTACTATTTAACTGGGAATAAGCCACAATTAAAGATAAAAATACGTTTATTGACGTTTCAATTTCCACTTCAGAAATCGTTCTCAAAATACAAACAGTAAATTAAACAAATTTTGTTTTTTGTTACATAGCGAAAAATTCTTCTAATAATTTAATTTAAAGAAAATAAAAAATCAATAAAAGATACAACAAATAAGCACTGTGCTAAAACACCCGAATATAAAAGGAGAACTAACGTTGAAAATTAACGAGGAGTTAAGCAAAACAATAATCAATGATAATGAAGATTCCAACGAAAAATGGGAAACATTTAAGAACACATTAATGATGCCAATTAAAGATACGCTGAGTAGTCACAAAATCGATGAAACTAAGACTCCATGGATGATAGATGACAAAAACAAAAATGTAAACGAATACAATGCCACACACAAGGACGTCAATCAGGAGATAACGGCAAATGTTTAGAGATAGAAGAACTCCAGAGAAATTATGATAGTTTTGAATTGCACAGAAAAATTAAAGAATTAGCAGGTATAAGACAGTCCAACAATAGTAATACCCTGGTTGATACGAATGGTTAATATCAGATATCAAAGGCAAACTAAACACATGGAGAGAATACGTCCAATAATTGTTTGAGGATGACAGGACACAACAAGATAGCATAAACAATTGCGAGGAATATGATATAGGTCCAAATATAACTAAGGATGAAATAATACATGCAATAAATCTGGCAAAATCTAATAAAACTTTGGGGCCTGACACAATTCCAACTGAAATAATTCATTTAAAATCAGATCAGATCAATGTATTAGTAGACTTATATAAAACTATATATAATACGGGTATTATTCCGAGAGATTGGCTCAAATCAAAATTTATTACATTATCAAAAAAACCTAATGCAAGGAATTGTAATGACCACCATATAATTAGTCTAATGACTCACACACTAAAAATATTCTTAAAAATTATCCATTTAAGAATTTTCAGAAAAGTGGAACAAGACATCACTGAAACCACCCAATTTAGATTTAGGAATGCCATGGGTACACGAGAGGCATTATTTGGATTTAACGTCGTCATGCAAAGATGTATGGATGTAAACCAACCACTCTATGTTTGTTTTATTGATTACAATAGACGGATTATAGTATTATATTACTCAAGAAGACGGTTTTGGGTGTAATTTACAGCAGCAGTTAGTACTTTTAAAAAACATACTAGTGTAATTAAAAAAGAGCGGTTTTAAACGTTTTAGACCGTTTGTAATGTAAAAGTTTAAATTCAGCGTTTTTTAAGCATATTTTAAATGCCTCGTACTTGTTACCAAAACTTAAAATTAAAATTCCATGCTATAGGTTTTAAAGATTAGGTTCTATTTATGGAAACTCCATAGTGTCCAATCGATGAAAGGGATACATTTTATTGATCTCATGAGAGTCATAAAAAATGGCAAACACCGCGCCACATTTATTTATTTAACACCTTTATAAGAACTGAATTCATTTGCGGTAAAATAAAAAAAATGTATGCGAAAGCTGCACTCTTTACCTTAAAACGCATCTACATTTTTGTCGAAAGGATTCCTGGATTTAAAGACACTAAATTTTACTGTCGAACTGATACAAATTTTATTGAGCCTGGATTTAGTGCTCCTAGCTTACATTTAAAATCGCCGATCGTTTCAATCATTGCTTCTGAGAGAACGGTTCATTCTACACAAAAAGTGCTAATAAATATTTTTGTTTAAAATTATCTTAGCTGCATTTTTATTTGAAACATTTTTTTCTATAATGTACAGATTCTTGATAAAATGATGTTTTCCATTTTCTTCCCTCTACTTGGGGATTCTAGAAAAAGCCCGGGGGTAAAAGGGGTAAACTTATTTTCATCTCTTTTATCGTTCTAAAATTTGTATGATTTTTAGAGGTTCAGTAGTATTTTCGTCCCTGACAACTAGAGTAACACAGAACTGCCTTAAATTGTTCATACCAGGTGTCAATATTATTTTGTTTCAAGGAAATATAATTGCTATGTTTCCCAATTACTGCATTTTAGCAATAGTTAGGTTAATTATAGGTTACTTATACATCATACGAGAAAATCCAACTTGGTGTTATTTAAAACAAAATATTGGTATTGATATTGGTATTAATCTTTCATATAATTCTTGTATATACAATACATAATACGATATAATACTTCTATAATTTATACATTTTTTAATTATTAGTAAACGACTTGGCAGGAAATTTTATGAAACAAGTAATTTCAATATTTGCTTTGAGCAAAATTACGATAATACCTCATGTTTCTATAATCAGCGCCAGCGTTTAAAATATTTTAAAAGCATATCAAAGAGAGGATGTTTTTTTTTTAAATTACCTGGAGGATGTAAGTGATTATGTTAATACAGAATGAATAGTATTTACTTTAAAAACAACTTTGCAGTGTTTCATCGTAACCATATATACATTTACAATATTGGTATAAAACTGTCATTTTTCTATTGAAACGGGGTTGACCTTGAATGCAATAAAAAATTATTTATTCATATTGGTAATTGTAGATTTATTATCAATTTAAGCTATGACATATTAATATAACTTATTATAACGTTATATATATATATATATATATATATATATATATATATATATATATATATATATATATATATATATATTGTAGTTCTGATTTTATATTATAGTTTTTAATTTTATATTATATATATATATATATATATATATATATATATATATATATATATATATATATATTGTAGTTTTGATTGATTTTATATTATAGTTTTTAATTTTATATTATATATATATATATATATATATATATATAAATATATACCAATGAAAGATACCATAATGCTGTTAGAGGCGTGAAAGCATATCCTGGATCAGACGTGACCTCAGATCACAATCCACTTATCGCCAAGATTACACTCACCCTTAAGAATATTAAAAGACATCAAAGAGACACTACAATAGACACAAGAAAACTTAAAGAACCTAACGTAAAAAAATGCCTCCAACATGAACTGTATGTGAACTGAAGCAAATTGAACACAAACAAAGGATATTGACGAGTACTGGGATCGACTAAAACATTGTCTACTGGAAACCTGTAAAGAAATACTAAAGACCTCCGCAAGGAGAAAAGAAGAATGAATGAATGACGAGATACTCAATATGATGGAACAACAGAGACAATTTAACAACAAAGACAACAGTAAATATAGAGAGATAAACCACGAGATCAGGGATAAAGGAGACAAAAGAAAAATACTTTGAAGAGAAATGCAAAGAAATCGAAGACCTTCAAAATAAATACCTGTTTAAGCTACAAAGAAAGTTAAAGAACTGGTAGGACCAAGAAAACAAAATCCCACTGGTGCACTTCTGGATAGACACGGGACTACTATAATACAGGCGGACGAGAAAATACAAAGATTGGCAGAATATATCGACGAACTGTTTGATGATGAAAGAGGAGATCTGGAGCACATAGAATTTACGTCAGATAAAATAGGTCCATATATTACAAAAGAAGAAATATTACACGCATTTAATGATCATGAACCAAATTTATAGTTCAGGCGTATTACCAAGAGTGGTGAACGTCGATTTTTATGTGTCTCCCCCCCACCCCACAAAAAACTCAAGAGAATGCAGCGAGTACCGCACCATTAGCTTGATGTGCTAAAATTACTACTAAAAATCATCCATAACAGAATACTGGACATAGAGGTTAATGATATACAATTTGGTTTTCGCAAAGGCCTAGGAACGCGTGAAGCTCTTTTATTACTTAATATACTAATACAAAGATTCCTGGACGTCAATCAAGAATTATACGTATGTTTTATTGACTATAATAAAGTATTCGATAAAGTACGATATGAACAATTAATAATATATATCATATAATCAAAGACAATTAACTACAACGACCTCAGGATCATATCAAATTTATATTATAAACACAGCGAGCAAAAGTATGTGTTAACGAACAGCTGTCAGAATAAATTGAAATTATACGTGGAGGGAGACAGGGATGCGAATTGTCGCCAATTCTTTTTAATGTCTACTCCGAAGAGATCCTGAAAAAAGGTCTTGAGGGTGAAACAGCTGGAATAAAGGCCACTGGAGTTCTTATTAACAACATTAGATATGCAGACGATACTGTGACCTTAGCCGATAATAATAAAGATCTTCAGTGACTGGTTACCAAAATAGCGACGTATGGAAAAGAGTA